TCAGTATATCTTTTAAATCCCCCTATGTTATTCTGCGTTATGCAGACAACAAAATCTTGCTTGCTGAAAGTGAAGACAACTTGAAGCATTTACTGATGAAGTCTACAGCATGGATTACACCTCATCATAAAGGAAATGAAAATCCTCACAACTGGTCCAATAAGCAACATCATCATAAATGGAAAAAAGATTGATGTTCCCAAAAATTTTGTATTACTTGATTCCACAGTCAACACCAATGGAAGTAGCAGTCAAGAAATCAGACGACATATTGCACTGGGCAAATCTGCTGCAAAAGACCTCTTTAAAGTGCTGAAGAGCAAAGATGTATCTGAAGACTAAGGTGTGCCTAACCGAAGCCATAGTATTTTCAATAAATAGCCTTATCTGCATGTGAGAGCTGGACAATGAATAAGGAAGACCAAAGAAGAGTTGATGCTTTTGAGTCGTGGTGCTGGCGAAGAATGCTGAAAGTACCATGGACTGCCAGAAGAACTAACAAATCTGTCCTGGAGGAAGTGCAATTGGAATGATCCTTGGAAGTGAGAATGGCCATACTTCATGTCACCTACTTTGGTCATGTTGTCAGAAGGGACCATTCCCTGGAGAAGGGTATCATGCTTGGTAAAGTGGAGGGTCAATGAGGAAGGGGAAGACCCTCAATGAGATGGATAGACACAGTGGCTGCCGTGATGGGCTCAGGTATAGCAGGGATTGTGAGGCTGGCACAGGACTGGGCAGTGTTTCGTTCTGTTATACACAGGGTCATTGTAAGTCGGAGCTGACTCGATGGCACCTAACAACAACAACAACATGTTATAACATTGTTAGGTCAAGGTTGAGAACCACTGTCTCACAGAAAACACCACTTTAGAAAAGTGGTGTTCAACTTGTGTTTTGTAAAATCTTTGTTGGCAGTGAAGCAGGTTGGAGAAAGAGGGTAGCCTCGGTTCAATTAGGGTAGCTCCACTGTTTTAAGTATTGGACTTATGCTTAAGATTTTTCATTATTTTTTTTTTCTAAGTATACCAATGCGTCAAAGCATTTATAATCTATTGCTTTTTAGAGCAATAATGTTCCACTGTCTGTACATAGGAATCACTCAGTTGCTTGTTTAAAGTGTAGCTGCTTGGGTCCCAGAGAATCTAATTCATAAATCTGGAGAATCTCTTTGATCTAGAGTCTCCTTTGAGAAACACTGACATTTTGCACTATCAGAACCTGTATGTGTTGTTAACTAAACTTTGTTTTCTAGTCACCTCTAGGCTACTACAACCTAGGAAACCTTTGCTAAAATTTTATTTCCAAGCCATTCTAATTCCTTTTTGCTAGCTCTGGTGGTGTAGTGCCTAAGGGATTTGACTGCTAAACAGAAGGCTGGCGGTTCAAACCCACCATCCACTCCTTGGTAGGACGGTTGGGCAATCTACTTCCATAGAGATACTGCCTCGGAAAGTATCAAGGAGGGTCGCTATGAGTAGTAGGTGACTCAACGGCAGTGAGTAGTACTGGATTTTTTAAAGCTGTATACATATAAGAACTTACTAAATGAAGGTTTTGGCCTTTACTTCTACTTTATTTCAAAAGGTTGCAAACATATTTTGAAGCTACAAGCGTGAGTTCTTCAGAGTCAGTAAAAAGAACCATTGCTATAATGGAAGGAAAGGGAGCCATTTTCACTATTCTTCCCTTTTGTCGTTTGGACCATTTGGGAATCAAGTACCCAATGTGCTAACTTAAGTTGCAAACCACTGGATGCCTCTAACATCAGCATCAGGCAGCTGGATGAGCATCTTCTTTCTATCACATTCAGAGATCCACAGCTGACGCCAAAGAAATTGTCCAAAGATAAGCTTTGGCAAAGACTCTAAACAGGATGTATAAGTTAAGTGGATGTGTTATTTTATTTTTTAATGTGTTACCTAATGTAAAGATTATAAATCTGAGTAATTTGGCAAATGAAAGCCTCTCATTCTGCCTTGTAAGTGTTAATTAATGAAATAGTGTAGTTTTGCTTTTCATCCCATAACTGCCTAATTTTAATAAAGTATGAGTCAGGACTTTGATCAGTTTTAATGATTCTTCAAATACAGATATTTGGCAACTATAGCGTTCTGCCGACGGCAAATATTTGTATTACATGGGGAGTTCTTCTGCCCCACTGTTCTTGTTACCTAGTGCCACTCTGATAAGAATATACCACAAATGGGATGGCCTTAACAAGCAGGAGTTTAATTCTTACAATTTGGAGGCTTTAAGTCGAAGTGCAAAGTTGCCAGGCTCTGGGGGGTGGGTGAAAGCCCCTTAACCTTGGGGTCCAGCTCCACCTCCTGGTCCTGGCCCCCTGGAACTAGAGGTGTTTCTTCACTCAGATAGCTGCTGGCTGCTGTGGCTGAGAAGCCCCAAGGTTGACAAGTAAAAAGGCAGTCCCGATATTACCAAACCACACAGCATGCCATTAACTTAGGGCCATCGTAAGTCCCAAGGTCGGCAGAGCATAGCAGGCTGCTGAGCAACGACACGGCTACATGCAGGGTCCAAGCATGCCATAGGCTAGAGACCATTCTCAAAGCTTCTCCTTATATACAGGAAGCAGACCACATCCCAAAGACAGCTACTCAGCTGCTTATGGTAGATCCTACCATGGGGTTGATTGCCAGTCTCATAATGGGGAACAACTACCACCAGCTGCCCAGCCACTCAACCAGGCCCAGCCAAGTTGACACACAACATAACCACCACAATTCCAAGGATATTTTTGTTTCCTTCTATTATGAACTGTGAAATGTATATAAGGTTAATGCATTTTGGTTGTACGTGTGTTAGCGTATCATGTTAGGTGCAACTATGACTTTATAATTGTCCTTATTTAGAGATTATATATGGTTAAGAAGATGTGTACAACTGCCAAGTTGACAAGGGGTGGGCTGTGATAGTTGGAGCTGTGTGTCAACTTGGCTGGACCACAATTCTGTATGGTTTAAGTTGTGATGTGGTTATTCCCATGATGGGATCAGATGATTATGTTTTGAGCAGCCAATCTGTTGAAAGGGCATTTCCCTAGGGGTGTGGCCTGCTTCCAGTATATCTATGGACATCCTGGGAAAAGAGACACTCTTCTGTGGATCGGGATTCTGTTGTGCTGCCTACAACTGTCCGTGAGTGAACAATCCACCATTTGGCCTGGAGATCTTGGATTCGTCATTCGTTAGAGTCAACAGCCAGTACACTGCCTGCCAACCTTGAGCTCCTCAGCCCCTGTAGCTGCAAGAGTCGGGAAAAGCCTCCAGCTTGACATTTGATCCAAGAACTTTGGACTTGCCAGCTTCTGTAAATGTGTGAGCCATTTTCCTAAGATAAATTTCCCTCTCTGTCTCTCTCTAAGCTTTACTGGTTTTGTTTCTCTAGAGAACCCAGTCTAATATACCCATCATGGGGTGTTTCTGACACCTGTAAAAATTGGTTATCACAACAAGTCTTTTTTTTTTTTTTTTTTGCGGTGGTGATGTTGGGGCTTGTGGACTCCATTTATTTAATTGAAAGAGGAAAAAAGGACTTGATCTTTGCCATGTGGATATAGGCACAATTTGTCACTGTACTGTTGTACCACTCCACCTGTGACACTGGGCAAGCGACCTGAAATTTGATTCTTTTCAAATGGATATCTCATAGTCATACAGAAGTTATAAGAATAAATGAAAATATTAGTGCCACAGTATCTGTGACCTCATGTAGAAATGGTCACCCATAAAACCAAATTGACATGGGAGCCCCAGGAGCCTATATGAGCTTCAAAGAACAAAACTATCTTGACTTCCAAAGTCAACTTCATTGGCTGCTCATAGTGCAATGCAAAAAGCACTGATCACAGAGCCAGATGGTACTGAGTGAGTCTCCAACTCTCTGAGCCCCTGTTTCTTTGTTTTAAAGTGAGGGGTATAATATCTACTTTCCAAAGTTGTTATAAATATTAATGAGAATATTTATGCTCATTGCTAGTACAAAGCTTGACACTAGTCTTTATGGAGACTAAATGGTGGCAGTGTTATTTGGCCCCAGAACCTGAGATGAACTGAATCTTGTCTTCACCTGACTGTCTCTCTGGCATAGCATTTTTCAGGGGTGATACCATCAAGATCAGGCAGGTAAACACTCCATTATTTTTAGGCTTTGGTCCCAAACCTCAGTGTGTCCCACATACTTCGGTGAACTTGGATACTCCATGGCCAGGAGGAACACTAGACTAGGAACCCTGAGAGCTTCCTTTCTCCTAGGCCCCATTCAAGCTTCATTCAATTTTCTAAGGGATTAGAGACAACCTGGGGAGGAAACTTCTTTCCAAGTGGGAGGAAACCTTGGATGTAGTACATCTTATTTATGTAGAGTAGGAACTCTGGTGGTGCAGTGGTTAAGGCATTTTGTGGCTAACCAAAAGGTCGGCTGTTTGAACCCACCAGCCAGCCACTCTGTGGGAGAAAAATGAACCAGTATGTTTCTGTAAAGATTTATAGCCTTGGAAACCCTATGAGGCCAGTTCTATTCTGTCCTATCGGGTCACTATGAGTTGGAATAGACTCGATGGCAGTGGGATTTTTTTTTAGGGTCCACTATACAGTTAAAATCCCAGAGGAAACTGGCTGAATCAGCTCTGCTGACCTAGACCAATATACAGTTTTTCTTTTCCTCTTGGACAAGGGTGGCAGCAGAAGAGAACTGGTAGATTCCTTTGGTCAACAATAGACATGTCTCGTCTCCCTTGCTGTCTATTACCTGGAAACCATGGAGTGGTCCCTTTTGTGAGCTTACCATATCTCTTCCCCATCAGAGTTCAGAGTTAGAGAAAGAGTGAACGTTTATACCTTTATTCACAACACAGCACTTCATTATGAAATATGTGCACTTGGTGTGTGAATTTCTGTAATTCTTAAAATTGACAGATATTAAATAGGGTACACATTTCAATGTCAGAATTAAATGTTGCCAATCCTGACTCAATGGATTTAAATCTTCTTCTGCCCAGTTTCCTCTTCAATCAGACTTTCCTGAAAAATATGTGAGCAATAAATACATCAAGGGTGATTTCACTAGCTGAATTTCATTACATTTTTTACTTTTAATTTCTAAAGTATCTATATAAAAAGAAAAGCTCTGCTTGTTTTGTGCCCCAGAAAGTGCTAGAGAGATGACAGATCGTGTCTTGAATTTTCACTTGTTTTATAAACATGAAATGTAACTAATTTGAGTAGAGGAGGTAAGAAAGGGGAGTGAGAGAGGATCTACTTAATCAGTTTGCTATTAACCCAGCCTTTGCTTCAGTTCTTCCTTTCTAATGTCATGCTGGGGAAAGTTCACTGCTCACAATTATTTTTATCATACAATAACAGGATTACAAAAGGAAAGGAACACGTCTGTTCACTTTTTCTTTGTTCTGTGAATAAGGAAATTGAAGTCACTGATGAGAACGAACACTATAACTTAAATTTATATATGATTTATTCAGGCCTTCTCTGCTCCTGGACATAAGAGTGGAGATTTCCGTTTTTGGTGGAAATTTGGAAATGGTCATATTACAATCAGAAAAGTAGAAAACAAATCTGTGGCTCTAAATTATAAATTTCCTAATTTGTTGTTTATTATTATTGTTCCAAATGGAACAAATAAACCACAGCTCTGTTGCTGATATCTACATTCCTGAGGATTCTTGGAAATAAAGTCATACCAAGAGTGATTAAAGAATCAACGAGGGGTGGTGGGGATTAGCCTAGAGAAGAACTGTCCAGGGATTTGATTGGAACAGACTTGAAGAATTAACATATAGCAGTGGGAGAAATGTCTTTGTAGTCATTCCAATGGTTAGAGGCAAGATTAGCAGATAAAGGTTACAGAAAGAAAGATTTCAATTTAAGAAAGGAAAAAGAAAGTTGCAATTACTAGAGCTATCTAACCATCCTGGGAAGGAAGGTTGGGCAATCTACTTCCACAGAGACACTGCCTTGGAAACCCAAGGAGGGGTCACTATGAGTTGAAACAGACTCAACGTGAGTTTGGTTTTTGTTTTTGGTATCTAACCAGTGGGGAGCTCTGGTAGCATAGTGCCTAAGGCACTTGACTGCTAACCAGAAGGCTGGCAGTTCAAACCCACCAGCCACTCCTCAGAAGGAAGGTTGGGCAATCTACTTCCTTAGTGATACTACTTTGGAAACCCAAGGAGGGGGTCTCTATGAGTTGGGTGCGACTGGAAGGCACATAACAACAACAACAACAACATCTAACCATTGAAATAATGAGGGCCCTATCACAGGAGTCCTGCAATAGATGAGAGGAAGTTGTCCTAAGCAGTCCCCAAGGGCCTTCTTTCCATCTCTAAACATATGTATTATTATCGCCGGAACTCACCAGAGCTCCTTTCAGGTCCCTGAGGGGAGAGCGCAGCTGGTGAATGGTGCATTCCAAATGTTGAGGTTCTGCTAGTTGATCAACCTCTTTGGCTATCTGAAGAAAAAGAATGTGATTCTTTGAGATGGAGATAAAGAAATGATAGTGTTTTCCAAAGAAGTTAACTGAGGAACAGTACTTCTTCCCTTACCCCCTGGGGTGGGTCGGGGTGAAGGCCTGTAGAAAGTGAGGGAGCTCTGGTGGCCTAGTGCCTAAGGCACTTGACTGCTAACCAGGTTCAAACCCACCAGCCACTCAGAAGGAAGGTTGGGCAATCTACTTCCGTAGTGAGACCGCCTTGGAAACCCAAGGAGGGATCGCTATGAGTTGGATAGATGGCAGTGAGTGAAAGAGAGAGAGAGTAGAAAGTGAGGTCAAGGAGGTTGTGGAATTGAGTGCTACCACTCTGGTCTAGAAGGCTGTAGGACTGGGATGGAACTTCACCAACGTAGATCCACAATCAAGCATTTTTAGATTGGTGTAGGGTTCTGCAGATAATGAAGATAATAAAGAGATAAAATGTTTTCTCCTAGAGATGATGAGAGAGAAGTACTTTGGGCATCATTAGGAGAGGGTATCACAGTGGCTAAAGGGCTTGACTGCTAACCGAAAGATCAGCAGAGTTTGAACCCACCAGCCACTCTGCAGAAGAATGATATGGCAGTCTGCTTCCATAAAGATTATAGCCTTGGAAATCGTATGGGGCAGTTCTCCTCTGACCTATAGGGTCGCTATGAGTTGGAATCGACTCAACATGATTTCTTTCTTTTTTTAAATTAGGAGCTCTGGTGGCACAGTGGTTAAGCACTCAGCTTTTAAGTGAAAGATCGGCACTTCTGTAAAGATTACAGACAAGAATGTGCTATGGGGCAGTTCTACTCTGTGCTCTGTCCTGTGGAGTCATTACGAGTCAGAATCAACTCGATGGCCATGTTTGTTGTTGTTGTTGTTGGAGTTAGTAATAGGGTTCATTTTAATATTATAGTTTTTACTAAATATTTCATACTTAAATGAAAACTGCTCACACAATCTGCAGAGAAGAGATTTCATATTTTAGAGCTTGATTTAATATTGTTACCTTTATTATTTCTCCAAAGGAGTTTTTTTCCCAATTAAAATTAAATGGTTTCCAGTTTCTCTAGCTATTCTTTTTTTTCTTCCCCATCCTTAGCCCTGAATCACTCATCCTTTAGGGCCTAGTTTTTAATCTTGTAAACTTTTTTTTTTTTAAAATAAAGGAAAACTCTTTTACTAACCAACTAACATTCCTTTTTTATTAAATGGCTCACATGTACAGCCTCTCTTGTAATCCTCACACAACCCCGAGAAGTCTCACTTTATAGATAAGAAATAAAGTACCCCATATTAATGCTGGGGCTAGTTAGTGTTAGTTGCTGTTAAGTTGATTCTAACTCCTGGTGACTGTGTGTGGCAGACTAGAGCTGCTCCATAGGGCTTTCAAGACTCTCAGCTTCAGAAGCAGATTGCCAGACCTGCCTTCCATAGTCCCTCTGGGTGGATTTGAACCGCTAACCTTTCAACTAGTAGTTGAGCATTTAACCATTTGGGCCACCCAGGGATTCCCATGTTGGTGCTAGTACCATAACTGAATTTATATGAAATAAAATCTAGCATGTTTCCCACCATACTATTTTATTTGTCTTCTTGAACTTGCTAACTCCCATACTCTGGCAGTCTTCAGTTTCTTTGCTTAAATACTTCTATCAGTAAGAAAATTGTAGGGCATGCACCCTTGATAAGGATATTTATTTAAAAATTATAAAAATGTAATACTGGCCTAATATCAAACACATTTTTAAAAGATGAGATGGGAAAAATAAGAATAAACAGAAGAAAAAGCATAAATAGAAATTGTAGTGTTCTTTCCAAACCCTAATGAACAATCTTGCAATTAGACACTCCATCTCATTGTTTCTAATTCCTTTGGCAATTCTTTATGCTCAGAGTAAGACACACTATCTTGCACTTGTTGCTATAGTCTCTTGGAATTATTTCTGTTGTTTCATTAGTTCTTGTCTAAGTTGAAAGCAGGAATAGGACTTCTACTTTTTGTGTGGCTTGTCTTCCTCAGACTTCCTAGGGTAGAGCCTGGAGTACTGTGTTTGGGCACAGAGTGAATATTTAGCTTATTTAATTTAGTCTTATTTTGAAGCTGAGAGAAACTTACTTCTTGGAAAGAATCAATCAGACTTTCAGCGTTTCTCTTTCCTCCAGGGCGCAATCCGTAGGACCAGTGTTGACTGGAGCAGGCCACCACACATAAAGTCAGCAGAACAAATCCAGTTAGAAGTTTTGGAATCAGCTCCATTCTAAGGAATGTCAGCGTGCGATCAAAATAAAGCCAGACTGGGTTAAGTAAAAAACAAAGTCCTCTTTAGTGAAAAAACCTAGTCTTTGTATCCCTAACCCTGCAGAAGATGTTGGAATAATCTATAATTTTCAAACAAGGCCACTGAAACACAGAGATAGTCACTTGTATCCCTTGAGTTTCCTAGCTATTTAGGGACCAAAATGAATACTTTAAGTTCACATATTTCAGTATAATTACCACTTCAAGGTGTTCAGTCAAGGAGTCAATCCAAAAAAAAAAAAAAAACAAACTGGCTGCTTCTAACATACCTATCAGAACAAAACTGATTTGACTTTTACAGGAAACTATTCTTTTTAGTGTTTATAAAATCCTTTGTGCTAAGTTCTCATAATGGAACTGAAATTGAACAGTGTATTTAAACAATGTGGAACAAAACTCAAAATCATTAAAAACAAAAAAAAAAAAAAAAAACAAACTGGCTGCTTCTAACATACCTATCAGAACAAAACTGATTTGACTTTTACAGGAAACTATTCTTTTTAGTGTTTATAAAATCCTTTGTGCTAAGTTCTCATAATGGAACTGAAATTGAACAAGCAGGCAATCAGTTGACATGGAAGTACCTCATGTTTAAAATATTTTCTAAATATTTAGGCCATTTTTTTTCCAGAGGTTGTGGGAAGATGGTGCTGTTTCTCAATTAACCTCTTTGGAATATAGAATATTTAACAATATGGAAAACAGAGAGACTTTCAAAAATATATTTACAGTCTGCAGAAGTAAATAAAATTGAAAACCACTGGAAAACTAACAGAAACCTTCCAAATTCAAACCCTATGATTTATCCATTATCAAGTTCACCTTTTTGCCTTAACATTTTTCCCTCCTGTGGATTGGCTTTCAACTGTATCATTCTTGAGGTTAAAAAAAAAAAAAAACCTGAGCCATCTGCTCTGAAAAGTAACTCCTGCTAGGACTCTCTGGCTAATATAAAGTTCCTTGACATTAAATGGCTACACGGTGGTACTAATTACATGCTGCTGAGTGTCCTCTAGTCTTCCAAGCATTACTGCTGGCTGGACCATCTGTGAGAGTGAGAGAGAATTCAACACTGTTCAAAGCATGAAGTCCCAGACCAGATGCCTCCCTGGCCAAGGGGGCCTCTAATTATCTAATGAAATGTGGAATTCTCACAAAGAATCTTCAAATTAATTTTCATTTGATGGGGGAAGAAGCTAAAGACAAAATCAAATTATTGGTCAATGAGAGGTTGCAGTTCCCAAAAGGCTGGCTCTCTGTGGCTGGTGGTGACAAGGACAGTGAAGGACAAGTTTTCTTTAGATATCATCACACCTGAATTCAATCTTTGGGGTATAAAATGCCCTATATAGAGACAATAGCAAGCAATCAAAAAAAAAAAAAAAAAAAAAGAAAGAAGGAAGGAAAGAAAAAAAATAGAAAGTGCTAGAAATATAAAGCATTTTACCTTTTTGGAGATGAAGGGCCAAACGAATGAATCCCCAGCTTCCTTTGGCATGTACTGAGTTCTGGTCCTTTTCATTTCCCTATATTCCTTTTTATATGAAACTTTCTAGGACATTGCAATCTTTCCCGCTGGTAAATTATATTGTACATGGGTTACGTTTTTTTCCTAATAATAATTTTTTAATCCCCACATAAAACCCTTTAATGGTGTTTGTAATTGGAACATTCCCTGGTGTATCTGTTAAATTTACTTAAGCCTAGCCACTGAAACTTCAGCTAAGACTTTTATAGCTGATGCCACAATTCAAAGAGATTAAAATCTACCTAGTTTGGTTTCCCTTGAGGAAATTAGCAGACCAATCAAGAGTTCCAGAAAAATAGATGTCTTAGATTAAGTGAAGTTAAACTCATACATAAAAACTTTCACCAGTAAAACAAAATGTGTATAAACTGCTGTATGGAAAATGAATTTGCTCTGTAAACCTTCACCCATATCACAATAAAAATGAAAAAGAAAACAAGAACACTTCTACCAGGGAGGCCTTGTAATATATGTAAAAAGAAGTTGACTCAAGATATTTAGGAGCTGGTCCCAGCGCTTAGTTTTAAAACTCTTATTTATAAATAATAATAAAAGTAATTATTGTCAATGTGTCAATGCACCTCATACACAGTCACCATCTGTCAGTCAGTGGAGGCTTGCACATTGCTATCAGTCTAAAATAGGTTTCAGTGGAGCTTTCCACCTCGGAGAAAAGGGGCAACCTGCTTCCTATAATCAGTCTGCAACCAATCATGGGCATGGTTCAGGACCAGGCAAGGTTTCCTTTGGTTGTGTATGGGTTGCTGTGAATCAGGGCCTCACTACGTGGCAGTTAACAAAAACCAAGCCCATGTGGGATCCTAAATAGATAATGTGAGGGTTGAAAATCTGTCTCCTATCCAAGTTTCCCTCCTGGCCTTATCTTGAAAGATTTCCATAGCATCAAAAAAAGGGTGAGTATGAACATTATAATTAGAATACCTTAAAATGGCACAAATGGTTGTGTTTGACTACCACCTGAGAGACTGGAAGTTTGAATACAACCAGAAGCACCTGAGGCGACAAGCCTGGCAATCTGCTTCTGAAAGGTAACAGCCTTCAAGACCCCATGGAGTAGTTCTACTCTGCACAACTGGGTCAATGTGAGTCAAAATCAGTGTAATAGCAACTGACAACAAGATTAAGATCATATAGAGCAGACTTTAGTCAACAGTATTTCAGATCTTTATTGAATATGCAGTACTGAATATAAATATGCAAAGATGACATATGAATGTTAAGGCCTGTGAAAAAGACCAATTGCACTCATGGTAACCACTCTGCAAATTGCTATCTTTATTTCTGTTTTATAGATGTTCCACGCCAACAGTGTGAAGTTGGACACATTGCTTTCACATCCCTGAGCCTCAATGCAAGTATTAAAAAAGAGAGAGACCTAGTACTCTTCACTACATTTATTTGAATCCATGAGTGCCTTCCCCTAATCTACCCACCTACACTGTAATCCCATCACAGTTAAGGATGTTGACTATAGAAAAATATTAAGAGAAGAGGATAAAATTTAATGTATAAATGGATTACCATGTAAACAGAGGGAAATTAAAAATAAAATTGAAGTGATAGAATCTAATTATTTCACTTGCATGGGTTATTTCTATAAGCTGGTATTGTTTGAAAAATGTTTTAAAACATCTAGATGAGTACAGCAACATGGTCTCTGAATTCATTCAATATGCTTCGTGTCCTTTAAGTCTGCCTTAACATGTCTTAAAGCCACATAGATCTCAAAGGCAAAAGCCAAGTGTGTTTTGTCTTATTTTCTACAGCACCAAATAGGATATCAAACAAGTATGTATAAGTAGTCCCTGACTTATGATGGGGCTCTGTTCAAATGATTCTGTTAAGTCGGGTTCTGCGTAAGTAGAATATTTTGTTTTCATTATTATTGCCTTCCGTTATTGGTATCTTTGTATAAATCTGTATTTGTCTCTGGGAGGTTAGAAACAACACACATAAACTTGCAGATATATTTTAGTACATTGTTGTTGTTGTTGTTAGGTGCCATCAAGTCAGTTCCGACTCAAGGCAACCTCATGTATGACAGAACAAAACACTGCCTGGTCCTGTGTCATCCTCACGATCCTTGCTGTGTTTGAGCCCATTGCTGCAGCCAATATGTCAATCCATCTTGCTGAGCATCTTCCTCTTTTTCACTAACGCCTTACTTCACCAAGCATGACCTTCTCCAAGGACTGGTCCCTCCTGGTAGTATGTCCAAAGTGCGTGAGATGAAGTCTTGCCATTCTTGCTTCTAAGAAGCATTCTGGCTATACTTCTTCTAAGACACATTTGTTTGTTCTTCTGGCAGTCCATAGCATATTTAATATTCTTTGCCAACATCATAATTCAAAGGCATCAATTCTTCAGTCTTCCTTACTTATTGTCCAGCTTTCGTATGCATACAAGGCAATTGAAAATATCATGGCTTGAATCAGGTGCATCTTAGTCTTCAAAGTTAAATCTTTGCTTTTTAATACTTTAAAGAGGTCTTTTGCAACGGTTTTTCCCATGCAATACATCGTTTGATTTCTTAACTGCTGCTTCCAAGGGAGTTGGTGGTACATCCAAGTAAAATGAAATCCTTGACAATTTCAACCTTTTTTCCTTTATCATGATGTTGCTTACTGGTCTAGTTGTGAGAATTTTTCAAATATATACATACATTAAACACACACACACACACACACATCCATAAAAAAATGGACGATGTTGGCATTCTGTCGGCTGCAGTAATAACTCCATTTGTGAAAAGTTCTGCATCATCTGGATTATCCCTAGAAAGGGGGATGGCATTTCTACTCAGAAAATTAGTGAGTTGTCTGTATGTCCTTTTACTTGCCACAATATTGTATGGAGTGCATATTGATAAGATGCACAAAAACCCCCCACAAAACCCAAAATACCAGTCTTTAATGTGGTTCATTATAATTCACATGTAAGTAATTACCTGTAATTAATTAGTGACAAGTTTTGAATCCTGTTGTCAATTTACCAGGGAGTTAATAAATTTTTGAGTTTCACAATTTTTTTTTTCCCTAGAAAATTACAGCTTTAAAGGAAAAATTGCTTCATTTTTGACACTAAATCTAAAAATTATTACAATGCAATGACTTAGTGATCTTGCTGAGTGATAGATGAAAAAAATTTGTTTTTTCCCTAATGTAAAATCTCAGCAGGAAGAACATGTGTTTAACTCTTGCTGATACATCTAATCAAGGTGTGAGAGGTTTTTCAGAGAATTAATCCATGGTTAAGATGTTTTATACTGAAAATAATGTGACCACTTTTCTTTGTAGTATAGCCTTGTGGATACACTTCGGGCCTGGGATAAAACTCACTTCCAAGGGCTGGCTCTTACTCCCAATAGTAAAGAAGACATCCACACAGACCACTCAACCCAGGGTGATGC